AAAAAAAAAAAAAAAAAAAAGCTTTGTCAATTGAACTTTTAAGAATATTATATAAGTTTAGCATGACATGATTGATTGTATGATAAAAAGAGTTGTGGGTATAGTGGTAGAATTAGAATTTATCGATTGAAGACCAAACTACACTTTAAAAGATCTTTGGACGATAAATGCTATGAACTGATTGCGTTATTATATTCAAAGATTACAGATCAACTTTCATCTTTCTACTGGATGGGGAAAATCTTGCAACTTAGACAATAGATTTAGGACCCATGGTACAATTTTCTCCACTACCCCACATTTTTTTCCTTAAATTTTTTAATTTATAATATGATTAACTGACTTGGAGTCGTTAATCTGGTTCAACAAACAAATTATGTGTCTGGTTAATGAAGGATTTGAGTCACGTCCACTTAATCTCATTATTAAGAAAACAATTTCTACTTTTGACCTGTGACCATATAAGTTTTTAAATCAAAATAAAAAAATATTCAAAACCACGGAGTTAATTCGTGCATGGTCCACAAAAACCAAGTTGGTAATGGTACCTCCTCAACTACAAGCAAAGTATAATTCCATGTGCCGTCGGGGGCATAGTCCAGTTGTGCAAAAAATAGGAGTGATGTTATCTCACGCCTTACTGAAAGTCGTAATGTGGATGTTCGTTTCCTGATATATGAAATTAGACTCTTTGTAAGCTCAGTGTACATGTAGCTCTTGTTCTCAACCTGTTGGGACACATTTCGCGATTTACCTTACTCACAAAGCTCTAAGGGTGGGACGGTGAGGGCCCTCAAGATTGGGATTCAAACTTTTTTTTTTTTTTTTTCATGTACCCTATCCATTATTTCAGCCTTCACATGCAAAATGGGCATTAATTGCCCATACCAAACATTCACACAAATTGACTCTTTAGAACTAAATGGTGTATTATACATTATATGACTAGGGATTTACTTTGGTCATACGATTTTCTATATTCAAATTATTTCCCCACAATTTTTTTTTTCTCGAGCTTTATTTTTTGTTTCCATCCTCATAGATTTTGTAAAGTGACATAAATCTTCTACTTGAACTGTGTCAACAACAATATTTCAAAGAGAAGAGATGAATATAAATTGTTGAAGTCAACAAATGTACGATTTAAAATAAACAGGAAAGCAGGCAATTAATTAGCCATATTGACAAAAAGGCTTGACATGCCCTACCACAGGCTTATTTCCTGCAGAGTTCTGATTTCATTTATTATGGTACATTTTTAGTTGCAAATTGCAATTATTGTTGAACCAAAATAAAAGTGCGTATATGAACATGGAGAAAAAAAAAAAAAAAATTATGCTTTTTATTATTGACTAAAAAATAAAAAGAAAAACTATTAAACCTTTTGGACTGCCCAAACTGACATGGCCTAGCTCCAACACAATTGAGCCGAGGAAAATTGTATCA